AGTGCTTAATAATACATAACAACAATTATTACATGAATCCTAAGACAATTCACAAAATACATGAATGCATTAAACTGTGAAATACAGATTTTGTACATTTAATTAAAATGCACAGCATCAGTACCCCCCCCCCCCCTTCACAATCTTGCAACTTTCTTTTTAATTCAAAGTCACTAGGCAACACTAAAGATTTCCACTTATTGCTTTTCAGTCCAAGACAGGAAGTTGAGGAATAAAGTTGACAGGACATCCTGAACTGTCCTCACTACCAGCTTATGAGGGAACCAGCTGCAGTGGACAAAGTACGTTACATCATAGGATAATAGGTAAGTCTCCGGAGTAGTGTTTGTAGCAATTCTCGTACTTGGTCCTGCATCGAAGATTCAGGACTATTGATATTTATCTCTGCATGGTTTGGTTCTTCACAGAAACATGTTACTGGTGGTGGTCCCTATATTCTTCTGGCTTTTGTGGTGAGGAATGTTTCATTTCTAGCTCTTTTCTGATCACATTTTGTCTATCTAGCTGTTTGTCTGTCTGTCTGTCCATCTGTCTGTCTGTAAACTTTTCATATTTTCGACTTCTTCTCTAGAACCCATTGCCACAAAGCATCCTTGGGTGAAGGGGATTCAAGTTTGTTCAAATAAAGGGCCACACCCTCATTCAAGGGGAGATAATTGGGAATTAATGAAAATTTGATGGTATGTTTTAAAAATCTTGTTCTCAAGAACCACTGTGCCAGGAAAAATGAAACTTATAGAGAAATATCCTCAGGTAGTGTAGATTTAAATTTGTTCAAATCATGACCCCCGGGGGTAGGGCGGAGCCACAATGGCTGACCAAAGTTTAACATAAAAATATATAGGAAAATTCTTTAAAAATCTTCCTCTCAAGAATGACAAAGCCATAATTGATCCTATTTATATGGAAGCATCCTCAGGTAGTGTCAATTCAAGTTTGTTCAAATCATAACCCCCGGGGTAGGGCGGGGCCACAATGGAAGATCAAAGTTTTACATAGAAATATAAAGGAAAAATCTTTAAAAATCTTCTTCTCAAGAACAGCAAAACCCTGATTGATCATATTTATACGGAAGCATCCTTAGGTAGTGTAGATTCAAGTTTGTTCAAATCATGTCCCCCGGGGGTAGGACGGGTCCACAAAGGATGATCAAATTTTATATAGAAATATATAGGAAAATTCTTTAAAAATAACCTTCTCAAGAAAAGCAAAGCCATAATTGGTCAAGGGACTACTTTTGGATTTAAACTTTTCAATAAAAAACCAATTTTTACTTTTTCCTAGCCACAGTGCTCAGGTGAGCGATGTGGCCCATGGGCCTCTTGTTTTGTTTTTTTTTTTTTTAAATGATCAATCATTAAATATAAATAAATCAATTGTTAAAAAATTTGCTTCATATTTGAAGTGCTTTAAACCGACCCTTTGATGAAAGTGACCAGTGTTTTTTGCACCTTGGAAGCTTTATTGGTAAAATATCAGAAGGAAGTTATGATTTTGGTGTTACTATTGTTGTTATTTAAGTTTGATTTGATTTTTATATTACGAGTATTATGAAACTGTTATTTTGTTACTGACCGATGGTTAATTTTAATTGTGAACAAATGTACCAAGATGAGGAGTATAATATAGTTGGCTATGTATATTGCCCAATTTTTGAACATACTATGTAATAAATATTAATAACAACCTTTGAATAATTGGAAAGACAATATTATAAATATGATACTAGTAGCATTTTTGTACATGAGCATACATTTTTGAAAGGAAAAATAAATTATTCAATTGCATTAAAAAAAATATTTTGTTTCATATTCTTGCGAATTATCAGATCATTCTTCTATTATTTAAATACTCTGTCATTATGAAAATTTGTTAATAATTAAGTAAATATTAATTGTACATTTGCACCAATTTTTACATGGCATTTTCACACTAAGAATGCCATGTGCAAAATTATATACAGGAACAATTGTGAACAAATATATGCAAGTGAGTTGTAAATTTGATATGTAATGCATACATTACAAAAACCCATGACAGTGTTCACTAAAATGAAATGTATGGACTCTTATATAAATACCGGTACTTGGTATATGTGATATGGATATTATGGATGATATTTTTGAGAATGACACAAGTAATAAAATTTTTCAGCATTGAATTGGATTCTTGAACCAGAGCCATGTGAACCTGGTCCACCTGTACCTCTCATTGAAGACCTGTTAACATCACCAGAGTATGTTCATTCTGATACCCCTATGGTATGGTTACAGCATGCATTATCCCTGAATCCATTAAAAGAGCTGCATTGGCAATGAAACAACCTAATGTGGTCGATTGTAAGGAAATATAGCATATCAGCTTCCAACTTTGGTGCAGTTCTCAGTTCTAAGCAAAGGAGGTAAGACGTGTGATTAAATTTTTGCGAAAAAGACTTTTAAAATTACAGTCAAACTTTGTTATCTCAAACCCATTATCTCATATTTCATAGATATGTCAAAGTAATTTTGAAGTCCAAACCATTTATAAAAGACTGGGACATTTTATTCTTGATAACTCTTTATGTATTATTCTTGAATCCACGGATATTTCCAACATTTTTCTTGGTCTCATTGAGTTTGAGATAATGAGGTTCGACTGTAATGACTAGATATTTGTACATAAAGATGCAGGAAATATAAGATTAATAACCAAAAATCATATTTTCTTCTCCAGATTGACATTGTCACTGAAGAAACAGCTGATGTCGGCTTACAATCTGGAGTCCATCAAGGCTGTTGCATGGGGTATCACTCATGAAGATGATGCTTTGAGAAAGTATGCAAAGGACATTGATGCAGCTGTAGAGCAGTCAGGTATACAGCACAAAATAACATTCATTCAACCTCTGACATGTTAACATTCAATGTGTCAAAACAAATAACAGGACTTATCCTGGTGACAAACAGAAATCAATTACTGAAGTCTAATTGTAAAAAAAAAACTAGAAATATGTCCATAGGACATGAATGCCCCGTCGAGAATATATTAGTAAAGCAACATGAAATTTGTACATGTATAAAATTTGATCAGTTTGGTTCAGGCAGGGCTTATAGTTAGTTGGGAATAAAAATGTAGGTCCAGCATCCAAAGCAAGTCTGGTAGTGTCCATCCCTAGATGCAACATCCATGCAAGTTTGGTTCAGGTAGGGTTTATAGTTACTTGGGAATGAAAATATAGGTCAGATCCAGCATCCGAAGCAAGTCTGGTAGTGTCCATCCCTAGCTGCATCATCCATGCAAGTTTGGTTTAGGTAGGGCTTATAGTTACTTGGGAATGAAAATGTAAGTCAGATCCAGCATCCGAAGCAAGTCTGGTAGTGTCCATCCCTAGATGCATCATCCATGCAAGTTTGGTCTAAGTAGGGCTGATAGTTCCTTAGGAATAAATCTGCTCCAAAAACTTCAACCTGGTCACTCATCTGGAAAATGTAGGTCAGATCCAGCATCCGAAGCAAGTCTGGTAGTGTCCATCCTTAGATGCATCATCCAAGCAAGTTTGGTCTAAGTAGGGCTTATAGTTCCTTAAGAATGGACGTGCTCCAAAAAATTTAATTTGGTCACTCATCTGGAAAATGTAGGTCAGATCCAGCATCCGAAGCAAGTCTGGTAGTGTTCATCTGTAGATGCATCATCTATGCAAGTTTGTATCAACATGTAAAGTTTGATAACACCATCTTGAATGGTATGTTTAAAACTGAGCTAAACACTATTTAAGAAAAGTGAGGTCAAGGTCAAAGGAAAGGTAAAAAAATGTTGATGCAGTTGCATAGCACTCATCAATATCTATCAGCATATGAAGTTTGATGAAAATATCTTGGATAGTTTTTTGAAACTTAGCTTTGAACAGAGCTAAACACAAAGTGGGATGGAAGGACAGAAGGACGGAAGACGGACATGACAAACACTATATGCCCCGGCCATATTCATGGCGGGGCATAAATATTCAGTTACCAACATATTCCAGAAAATTTGCTTTTTGAAGTGGAAGGATTATAAAAGCTCTACTTAGACTTTGTTTGCATTACAAAATCAATTGTATTATGGTTTGTTTGCATTCAGTAGTATTATATTTTTTTCTGAAAAGGATATGGTTGGATGAATCTGGAGTGTTGGGAGCTTCACCTGATGGATTAGTTGTTCGACCACCAACATGCAGTGTATTTTATCAAACTCCAGAAGCCAAAGACGCCATTCCTGATATTGTAGAGGTGAAGTGTCCATTTACAGCATCGTCTTCAACAGCAACAAATGGGGCACAAAATTTGAAGGATTTTTCATAGGTAAATAACATTTAAAATCTGTATTGTCCAGTACTTTGAAATTAAAAATCTTGGTGAGTAAATGATTTCAAAACATGTATTAATTTACAAGTGCAGCTGTTCAATATGGTATGAGGATATTGAAAAAGGAGGGGATATGTACTGGTATAACACAACTTCAGTGTTTTTTGATTTTTTTTTTAGATCTTAAACAAGATACCCTGTGCCTGAAAACCAGTCACCCATACTATCATCAAATTCAAGGCCAGCTACACATATGTAACAAAACATTCTGTGACTTAATTGTGTGGACAAGAGTAGACTGCATTGTGATTAGAATAGTAAAAGACATTGAATGGACAGCAAATGTTCCAAAGCTGATAGATTTCTACATTAACATTTTCATTCCAGCACTGATGGAAAACTGAGTTCTGGTTTGAACTTCTTGACACTTAGTTTTGTACCTCTAGAATTTTCTAACAATGGAAAATGGGTAATCTTGTTAAATGTGTTGAATGTTCCTAAGTCTCATAAATGTATGACATGATATGTCACAATCCATCATAAAACTTCTGGCTTATAAGACTATTTTAAATAGCAATGATGATTAATAAAATCTATGTACTACATAAAAAAAGAATATCAAAATTTAGAATCATTTTATAAATGAATTGAAGATGTTATTCTCAAAGTGAAAATGTAACATTTTTGTCTTTCTTAATAGATAAATTGTTGAAAACATGAATTTGTTGAGTTGTGCTTTAAAGGTAAATATATACTTTAAACTAGAGATTTAAAATTATAAGTAAACCCTCTTCCAAATTATATTGTCAAATGAAGAATGGAATTGCCAAACATTCTTGTAATAAATCCATGCTAACAAAAGGGATTTTCATTTTCTGAAGTACATGTATTTATTTTACAACATGCTACAAAGTTAACAAATATAACCATTGACATTGATAACAAATCAAAATTTGCTTATCCCTTGCACTTTGGTATGAATATCTTCACTGTTTAGTGTATACTGTCACACGCCAATGCAAATTTATAATAAGTACATGTATCTTTAAGTAATTTCTTTCAAAAGTGGAGCTTGCAAGTTTACAAGACAAGAACAGAGTTGAAATATTTTTGTTGAGATTGGTCTGTAAGTAGATGGTATGTGACAGAGAATCTCGTAATTCTTTATCCTCTCGTTGGCTCTTTCCACATGAATAAGTGCTTTAGCAATCTTGTAACACAGTGCTGCTTCTTGTATGGTAAACTGGCCTCGTGTCGATAAAAGAGCTTTTATAATTAAGCAGACACCCTGGGGCGACTGGTCATGAATGGTGAAACCTTTGACCCCCAAAATAAGGTCTCCAGCTTTGAACTTTCGTAAAACTTGGCTGTGGCGTACAATGGCTACATCAGAAGTAGAACCTGGGTACAGCATGGGGCAAAATGTAAGTGCACCATTTGGAGGCACGCAAGTTACTGCTTTAAAAGTATGGCAATTTTTGTACATACTGTAGGCCATGGCCTGATTATCCATATGTGTTGGGATGTCCTGGGTTTCAAGTGCATCCATGGATGCTCTAGCAGAGGAAAAATCCTCAAATAATTTTGGCAGAGACCCTGAAAAAAAGTTGGAAAAAAATTAATTTGATTATTTGTAATTGTGTAAAAAAAATTGTGTTACAGTCAATCTTTCAAGAATACAATAAATTTAACTGCATTAAATTTTTGCAAGTCATTATGATAAATTTTAAAACAAACCTTTGTATTTAAGCTGACTTGGAAAACATTCTACGCTACATTCTACACTACGCCATCAGACAGCATCTTGTATAGGGAAAAGACCACTAATTATTTTCCCATAGAACTCCATACAAACCTTAGGCCCTCTCAGTACTTTACTATGACAATTTCAGAAAAATCTTTAGCATCATTTCAAACTTTAATCTAAGCCCTTACAAAAAATACAGAAAAAAATATATGGTCCCATGTCGTTTATAGGTCAAAATTGCAGTTATTTTCAACTTATAGAGATTCGCAGTAAAATAACACGCGGCATAAAAAATCAACCCCCACTCCTAAAATCTTCCCTGGCATTTCTATAGTTTCTGTAATATCCCCTCATCCCAGCATTTATTTCAAAGGTCATTAATTTTACTTTAAAATGAAAACAATTAAATACCTGATATCAGCCAATGGCGTAACACCTACCCATTCAGTATTCGGTTTAATGTTCCATAACAAACAAAGCCATGTGTGCATCCGGGGATTTGGTGCTCTCATTCCTATACTTACATACTTACCTGTCCCAGAATTAGTCAATTGTGGTAATTTCAAAGACTATACACCTACCTGTGAACATGTATGAAATTTGAGTCCTGTGACTTCAGTGTATTGGATACTGTGACCATCTCAAATGATGACACCTTACTGCTACCAGCACAATTCAAAGGAGTGAATGACGTCTGGGCCGGTGATGATATTTGGATATATTGGTGACTGTAATAAATAAAATATTTGTACAATGAATTGTTTTTGTGCTTTAATGTTAATAAAGTGATATTAAGTCAAAATTGAGTCAATAATTTCATAAGGGTGGATTCTACCCAGAATTAGGTAAAAAGCTCCAAAATTGGATAAATCATAGTTAATTAAGCGAAATTCAAAGGTTTCAAAAAGACTGATATAGAATTTTTTTATGCTTATACAAAGTATATTATTTAAGACTCTGATATACTAATTGATTCTTATCTAATCCCTCCTATTGCGTAAGTATGTACAAAAAAGTTTCCCCACCCCCAGCGAAAAACTCTTTAAGAAATAGCAGGTGCCCCCTTTTATTTTTGTTTACAATTAATTTAGAAAAGTTTAAATCAATCCTTTTGATAACAAATCAAAGTTCAATGTCTGTAGTCTTATACATTACAATCAGAAGCTACTTTTTGAATTTTATTCTAAGAAAAGGAGAATTTAAATAATTTTTTTTAAAAATTAAAGAAAAGCAAAAACTGACTTCAAACCCCAAAATGTACTATACAATAAGAGGCTGGAAAGTTAATAAATAAAAAATTTACCTGTAATGTACAGAAAACTGTCAGACAAAATACATCGGGTGGGTAGGAAGTCTCCATTTTCTTCTTATATAGAGAAAATGCCCCTGCTGATCAGAGACCTAACACTCCCAAATAATAACAAAATATGTTAACATAACAGTCAATCTAAGATGTTCATCCCTCAATGGCAACAAGTTTTTATTACAGTAACTGAAATTGTTAAGAAATAGGAAATCACAATTGGAATTCCTTTAAATGTACCTTCTCTTCGTTGTATTAAATATCGTGGATTGATATTGGCTTCCTTTTACTAGACTCTATTTTTAGGGCAAGCAATTCCTTTTCCAGTTGTATTTCTGTTGAGAGGCGCTGCATTTCTTGAGTACAGTTAAATGTGCAGGATGCTGAGTAGTTGTGCTCCGATATCAACGGAAAATATTTTGTAAATCATGTACAGTTAAAAGAACTTTATATATTATTAAATATTATTGAAAATGTTTCAGTGTTGGTCATTTGTCATCATTGGTGTTTTAAATGAGCTTTACTTTTTCTTGATATTGACATTTTGGTGCTTGTGGAATCTGCAACTGGTCCATCTGTGAAGATGACAGGGACTCCTCACTTTTGAGTTTTTTCCTCCTTTGTACATGTAAAATAATTAAACTTGAATTATTTTTTTAATCAGTTGTAAGCTACTCTGTTTATACATGTACCCTTTTAAAGATTTTTAGTAAAATATTCTCAATTAAACTCCACCCACCCACCATCCAAAAACAAGATGTCGGTCATATTTTGAAAAATAATTTCACCTTTTTGTACATTCAGGATCAGAGAAATCCATGGCCTTTCCTTCATTCCATGCAAAATATGCAGGGTCCCCTCCTTCTTACCATCCTTTAAGTGGCAGGAGCAGATGCGATCATTCTGATCTCCTGGTTGGCGATCAGCTCGTCTAAAAATATACATTGTACAAAGACTGAGTGAAGGAGAATTAAAAAACAAAACGTTCGTTTAGCATGTTATTATCAAATAGCCTAAATGACTTATTTTTTCATTATTTTTTTTTTTAATGTTACATTTACTTGCAAGTACAAGATAACCATGTGCATAACATTAACAAACGGTAGCAGTATTTGGTAGTAATAATACGAAATAAAATGTAATAAAAACAGCTGTTAAACAAAAATTAATCTTGCTACAAATTGCACAGTTTTTGTAGTATGTACTCTTCAATATTCTTCTGCTATATTGATTACTACGAGATTTAACTTTTTAGCATGCATGTATAAATACTGTATCTGACAATGCAGCATCGTGACATATCGTTACAAGTACCTACAAATTTTGTCAATATATATATCTACGTTTACTGAGTTTTTTCCCTAGCAGGCAAAAATATCTCCATCATGTCACCAGGAACAACACTCGTGCATCTCGTAATTAGTGCTGCAATAAACAAACTGATGTGTTTTTTCTCACCTGCATGGTTTTCCCGACGCTTCAGCTACTTTCGTTATTTCTAACCAATGAAAAGTGTCCTTACTTTTCTGTTGCGTCATGCAATTTTATTGCACGCATCACTGAATTGTATAACACACATCACAAGATTTCGAATATACATCACAAGATTATCGAACATACATCACAAGATTTCGAATATACATCACAAGATTATAGAATATACATAACAAGATTTCGAATATACATCACAAGATTTCGAACATACATCACAAGATTATAGAATATAAATCACAAGATTTCGAATATACATCACAAGATATTGAATATACATCACAAGATTTTGAACATACATCACAAGATATTGAATATACATCACAAGATTATAGAATATACATCACAAGATTTCGAACATACATCACAAGATTATAGAATATACATCACAAGTTTTAGAATATACATCACAAGATATTGAATATACATCACAAGATTTTGAACATACATCACAAGATTTTGAATATACATCACAAGATTTCGAACATACATCACAAGATTTTGAATATACATCACAAGATTTTGAATATACATCACAAGATTTCGAACATACATCACAAGATTTTGAATATACATCACAAGATTTCGAACATACATCACAAGATTTTGAATATACATCACAAGATTATCGAATATTGCAACGTTTGACATGCCATACAAAATTCAAATGTTAAAAAAATAATTTTTGTTAGGTCACACAAAAAATAATCCTAAGTTGATCATTGTTGATATTGCGTGAATTCGCCTTCGAAAAATTAAATTTATCGCTTATATGTTTATCTCATGAAGAACGAACCCGAGCATGTTTTCACAACAAAGTAGATATGTACACGGACAATATTTTAGCTCCTTTAAAACAATCATTGAAAATATCTGATTTTCCTTTATTCTTTAAATATGCATATTAATATAAAAATTACTGTGGATTTTATTTAAATAATTTTGTAATTTTGGAAAGAGGTATTATGACTAAGGCTTCTACTAGTAGAGAAAAAAAAATACTCGGGTTTGAATTATCTTCATTATTACATATATCCGATAAACATATTTTTTTCAACAGATCTTACTTTCCGTCAGGAACTACTGTTTTTCAATAAGGTTTTTGATCTGCGTTTTCCATGTAAGGATTGTTGTAATAAACAATTAAATAAATCTTATAATTTATTTTTATATACTATCTTTGTAATGACGTACTTTTATTGTGTAAGATAATATGCGCCTGTTTCGGGTTAAGCGGCCTTAACGCTCATATTACTAACCAACGTTGAAATGGGCTCAACAGTAAAATTTAGCGAACAGTCAGATCATTCTTCGGGCCAAGATTAACAGGTAAATTTTAAGGTCAGACGATACGTTTAATTCCCAAAAATCTGTTGTGAATCTTAATAATATATGAAAAATATACAGAATTTTAATTACTTTCTGATTTCTAAACTGGTTTCTATTTTTTTTTAATTTGAAACTCTAAAAATGTAATTTTGGCAAACTACGTTTTTTCTCCTAACAGATTATATAAGAAACTCCATCCTCTGGTATCTTGCATCACAGGCGCTTGTTTCACACAGTAAGCTTAGATTTCTACTATATAATAACATATGGTAGAAATCTAAGCTTACTGTATGAAACAAGCGCCTGTGTCTTGCATAAATGCCTAGTACATGTACAGGTCATCTTCGCTAGCCAAGGGTTTCCGATCCGAAATCTACTAGTAGATTTCGGATCGGAAACCCTTGGCTAGCGAAGATGATGTAAGGTACCTCAATCATATTTTGATGTAATAGAAAGAAATGTGTAATTGGCCAAAGAGTCATAGCTGCCTTTCCGACGACACGGCCGACTCAAGTATTTAAATGGAAATCACCTGTTTCTATTTATAGATACATGTACCTTTTCAATTCAAGATCAAACTACATGTATACGTAATCATTTGTGGACCAGTGTTATATTTTCATAGTTGCAAGTTTGTTAAATGACAATTATTTTACTTGTTTAATACTCATGGGCGTCGGAAGCAAATTGAAAGTGGGGGGGGGGGGGGGCAAAACCAACAAAAAAAGGTAAAACTTAATTTTCAATGCATAGAAATTGTGTATATTTGCAAAAAAAAAAAAAAGGGGGGGGGGCTGGGCCCTCTTAGACCCCCCGGTTTCGACGCCTATGATACTCTTATTCTAAACAAGATTTTTGAAAATTTTAAAAATAAAACAAGCTAGCAGCTAGACTTTGGGTCATTAAAATACCGTAGTTTAGGACTGGTTTTTTCCCAAGATTCTTTCAAAGTGTAATGTTGTAGTACATATCTCTTATATTTTTTATACATGTATTATAAAATAATAAAAGAAAAAAATAGGGAAAATGCAAAGAGAAAAAAAAAAAAACAAAAGCAAAGATAAGAAATACCCACTAAGAGACTCGAACTTAAGATCATTATGTCTACAACCAAGCAATCATACCACTATGCCATGAAGTCATTGTAATCAGATGGACAAATTAAAGACAGATTGTTGAATCTTAAAATAATTTTGAAAAGATAAATTGAATACATATTTTCAACATTTTCAATATGAATTAAGACCACCTTTAACCAAAAATATGTAATGAAGTGCAGTCATATCCAAATTTAGAACCTACCCCGCTTTTTCATCCAATCAGCAGCTGCTAAATTTTCTATTAAGTTGCTCACTTAATTGTTAGGATTTTAGATTTTTTGTCTATGCAGTAACTCCGCGAGCTGACTAATTAGCCAATGAAAAAGCGCGATTAGGTTCTAAGTAAGTTAGATCATATTAAGTAAAATTTTATTGGTTAAGAAGGGGGCTCGGTCGCTTAGCTCCCTCCGCCCTTTCTTAACCACTAAAATTTTACTTAATATGATCTAACTATTACAAAATTTTTCAGAAGTTGTTTTCTGGTTTAAAAAGGTGGTCTTTAGCTACAGTTTAGGGGTGTACCTCAGTATTTAATACTATATTCTCCATATAAACTGAACAATTTTTATATCTATCATATGAGGGAACCATTAATATTTGAATATTATTTTTGTCTGATTTTCTTTAAGGCGTGTTTAGAACCTAACCTACTTTTTCCTCCAATCAGCAGCTGCTAAATTTTCTATTAAGTAGATCACTTAATTGTTAAGATTTTATGTCTATGCAGTTACTCCGCGCGCTGACTTATTAGCCAATCAAAATAGGTTATAAGTAAGTTAGATCATATTATTAATATGATCTAACTTACTTAGAACCTATTTTGATTACTTAATAAGTAAAATTTTAGTGGTTAAGAAGGGCTCGGTCCCTCCGCCCCTTCTTTACCACTAAAATTTTACTTAATATGATCTAACTATTACATAAACTAACGTTGTATGACAAAATTTGGTTAAACAAAGTATTTAAAAAATCACTGCTAGAGTAGGCGAAAGTGACTATCAAAGGCTTTTTTCAATTAATTACAACTAATGGTAATTTAATTTATTACTTTCCAAAAGGGCATGTATCTAACAATTACTTTTCAATTACATTCAATTACACTGGCTTTAAATAAATGAAAAATACCCCCTCGAAGATATTTATAATTTCAAGATACAAAATTCTTTACATAATTATTTCCCCCTAAAGTAGGGTGTTGTGTTTCTTTTGCGTGTCAGTATATGTTTCGAATCACAACAAGCCACGTGGATTTGTGTTGTTACATGTAAATGCCCACAGTAAACGTGCTTCCAAGCACTCAGTTGAAACGTACTTAGTCGATACATGTATCGACCAGCATATGGACTTGTTTGGTGATGCATTCACATTGCTAGAGTTTTGTGAATAGAAAATTGGAAAGTTGGAATGCTTCCTTCAGTAATTTACCAGAGTTATTAAAAATTATTTCCTTTGTTTTAGCTCACCTGAGCCGAAGGCTCAAGTGAGCTTTTCTGATCAAAATTTGTCCGTCGTCTGTCGTCGTTGGCATTGTCGTCGTTGTTGTCGTTGTTGTAAACTTTTCAGAACCACTGGGCCAATTTCAACCAAACTTGCCACAAAGTATCCTTAGGTAAAGGGGATTCAAGTTTGTTCAAATGAAGGGCCACGCCCTTTTCCAAGGGAAGATAATTATGAATAAGAGAAAAATTAATAGCGTTTTTAAAAAATCTTCTTCTCAAGAACCACTGGGCCAGGAAAGAGGAAACGCATGTGGAATCATCCTCAGGTAGTGTAGATTCAAGTTTGTTCAAATCATGACCCTTGGGGGTAGGGCGGGGCCAAAATGGCCGATCAAATTTTTACATAGGAATAAATGGGAAAATCTTTAAAAAACTTCTCAAGAATCACTGGGCCAGGAAAGAGGAAACTCATGTGGAATCATTCTCAGGTAGAGTAGATTCAAGTTTGTTCAAATCATGACCCCCGGGGGTAGGGTGGGGCCAAAATGGCTGAACAAACTTTTACATCTAGGAATATATAGGAAAAATCTTTAAAAATCTTCTTCTCAAGAACCTCTGGGCCAGGAAAGATGAAACTCATATGGAATCATCCTCAGGTAGTGTAGATCCAAGTTTGTTCAAATCATGACCCCCGGGTGTAGGGTGGGGCCAAATGGCCGATCAAAGTTTTACATAGGAATATATAGGAAAAATCTTTAAAATCTCCTTTCGAGAATCACTGGGCCAGGAAAGATGAAACTCATATGGAATCATCCTCAGGTACTGTAGATTCAAGTTTGTTCAAATCATGACCCCCGGGGGTAGGGTGGGGCCAAATGGCCGATAAAAGTTTTACATAGGTAGATATTGGGAATCCTTTTAAAATCTTCTTTTCAAGTACTTCAAAGCCATGTTTATAGTGATATTTATAGGGAATCATCCTCAGGTAGTGTAGATTCTAGTTTGTTCAAATCATGACCCCCTGGGGTTTAAAATTCAAGCCCCCCCCCCGTAAACTTTCAATTCTGATCTGGTATGTGCATTTTCATAGCCAATATTGCTCAGGTGAGCGATGTGGCTCCTGGGCCTTTTGTTGTATGTTTACTTCTAGACACCACTCACTACAGTAATCATTGCGGAGATTAAGTTTACATTTAAGATCTGGATCCGGTTGTATCAACATTTAATGAATGATAAAAGCTTCATTAAACTGATCATTTTTAACATGTTTAATGTGTCATTAAATTCCGTTGTATCAAAGTTTTAATGAACGAATCGGTGCATTAAAGCCTCATTAACTTATCTAATTTTAATGAACCCAAGAGGGCTTCTTTAAACGTTCATTAACTATGGCGGCCAACGTAATGTTTGTGAGTTTGCTATTAATGATGTCAACATTTCTCTCCACTAAATCAGCTAAAAGTTGAATTTCACTTGAATCGAAATTTTTCCCCCGATTTCTATTGTTTTTAAATTGAATTCCATCAGTCATTGTGCAGCAGAGTTTTTGATTTTTAATGAAATGACGTTTTTAGCTCACCTCAACGAAGTTGGGGGGAGCTTATGTGATACCCTCAGCGTCGGCGTCGGTGTCCCAGATTGAGATAAAGTTTTTTGGAGCAGTTTTCTTTTAATTACTTTTGTGTCCTATATTGATAAAATATGCATGGAAGATGGTTTTAGTGTGTTTCATTGTACCAGACAAAGTTTTAGATGCTGCAATTTCAGAAAAGGAATGACCAGGTTAATGTTTTTGGAGCAGGTTAACATTTTTGGTACAGTATTGGGTGTAGGTTTCATTTCCAAGTAACTATAAACCCTATGTTGACCAAACTTGCATGGATAACACATCTAAGGATGCATACTACCGGGCTTGCTTCGGATGCTGAATCTGACCTACATTTTCCGGTTGATTGAACAGGTTAAAGTTTTTGGTGCAGGTTTCATTTCCAAGTAACTATAAGTCCTTTGTTGACCAAACTTGCATGGATGATACATCTAAGGATGCATACTACGGGGCTTGCTTCGGATGCTGAATCTGACCTACATTTTCCGGTTGAGTGAACATGTTAAGGTTTTTGGTGCAGGTTTCATTTACAAGTAACCATAAGCCCTATGTTGACCAAACTTGTATGGATGATATATATAAGGATGCATACTACTGGGCTTGCTTCGGATGCTGAATCTGACCTACATTTTCCGGTTGAGTAAACAGGTAAAAGTTTTTGGTGCAGGTTTCATATGAGTTCTTAAATGACGAATCTTGCATAGATGATACATATAAGGATGCATACTACCAGTCTTGCTTCGGATGCTGAATTTGACCTTCTTTTTGTGGATGAGTGAAAATGTTAGTTTTTGATGCATGTTTCATTTCCAATAAACTATGAGCCCTATAATGAGCAAACTTGCATGGATGATACATCTTAGGATGCACACTAATGGATTTGCTTCGGCTGAATTCAACATACATTCAGATAATAGACAAGGTAAAAGTTATGGTTGTAGGTCTATTACCAAAAACTATAAGGCTTACATAACATTGTATAAACCAAACTTGCGCAAATGTTGCATCAAGAGATAGGAACTCTCAAATTTCCTTCAGATGCTTGATATTCATTACATTTTCATGAAGAAGAATAGTTTAAATTTTTTATGTAGGTTTAATTTATTTCAAAGTATCAGATCAAAATTACTAAAATATTTTCATTTTTGGAATGTATACTTTTTGTTGGTTAATTGTGTGGCTTTGCCTTACTTAAAGACAACATTATTTGAGGTGAGCTCTGTAATATCTGATTACCTATGTTTTATGATCTATCCTTTTAGACGCTCGGAATTGGTTAAATGACGAAATTTTTTGATTTTTGCGTCATAATTAAAAATGAGTTCTAATTTGGCGGATTTTTAAACTGGTTTTATTATAAGTTATTAGTAAACAAAGGAAACGCCCACGGAAGTGGTAACGCAATGCATTACGGGATATTTTCTTAATGTTAATAGACCTTTAATGAATTCTTAAATATCTAATGATTCATTAAGTAATAAGACTCTAATAAAGGTTTTGTACAGCACACTTTAATGACTTTATTAACTAATGTATCATTAAGAATTTAATGAATCATTAGGCTCAGTAATTCATTAAATTTAATGAACCCTTGATACAACCGGGTACTGATTTTGAATTGGATAATAAAACAAGCTGCATGCAGAAGACATGAGATTATTTCTTGATCTAGAGTAACAGAAACAGAATTATGATCCAAAGTACTTGGGAAGTCATTTATAAAGAGTTTAAACAAATTTGGACTAAAGACATCCCCTTGTCTGACTCCAACCCCAGATGGGAAAAAAATCTGTCATTTTATCATTTACTTTCACACACAGTCTATCATTCTTATACATAGATTTTAAAATTCTCTAAAAATATCCATTTATATCCTTTGGTTGCAGTTTATACATAATGCCAACATGAATAACTTTATCAAATGCCTTTCGAAAATCAACAAAATAGGCATATAATTTTTTATCACCAGTCTTAAGATATTTGTTGAGTAAACATTTCAACACAAATACATGTATATGATCTGAAGTGCGAGATTTCTTGGAGAAACCTATCTGTGATTCATGAATAGTATCATTTTCCATCAAAAAATTGTCAAGTCTAAAAAATTCAATATTAAGTTAAATAATTTTCCAATACTATTGTAAATAGCTGTCTCTGAAATTTTCTGGCTTATTTGGATTGTCAGATTTGAATAGAGGACAAATAAAACTTTCTGACCATTTTGCAGGATATTCTCCAGATGTAAATACAATATTAAACAGTTTTAACAAGCAAGGATTGATGAAATGTTGTGATGCTTTAAGCATTTCATTTGAGATATTGTCTAATCCAGGCGTTTTTTTTTCAACTTAAGTTTAGAAAATGCTTCTTGTAATTCTGTGTTTGTATTGACTTTAATTGGTTGGACAAATATTCAGTTTGTTGTACAAACTATTACAACTAGATAGTAATAAAACTATGAAACTAAAATGTCTAGATTTACAAACTTGAATACACGAGTAAATTGCTTTTAATCAAGAAAAACGTTAACGTGACTAGACTTGAAAATTAGCAAACTTTGAGTCACCACTGAGACTTGAAATCATGTCCACGCCAACGGTCACCCCCACGACCCTTGTTAGCATAATACGGGTTATTGTAGTAGCCTCTTCCCTTGTACTGCATAACGCGACGAGATAAGTTCAAAGCTGTGTCAACTGAGCTGCGTATATATGTTAGATGCGAGCACCTATATATGTTTTTCACGTTTCATGAACAAACTAATTTTTTTTTTGCTTGTTAAGAAAGTTCAGGGTTGAAAATTATTTTTGACAGGGGTGGACCCCCTCCCCCTGAAAAAAAAAATTCTGGACCCGCGCCTGATGTCCAAACTCTTAATTATTTTGATTTGATTGATTTATCTTGCAGGCAATTATACCACTAAAAGTCATGAAGGCCCAGTGTAGCATCTGTTCTGAACTTTTTGTCATCGACCAGTCAGTGGCCATAGCAGCTGTCCCCTGTGGGCACACTTTCCACAGAGGATGTCTATCCACCTGGCTGCAGAAATCCAACACCTGCCCCAGTTGTCGCAGTAGAGTTGATCCCAAGCGTGTTATAAATCGTCTCTATTTTGATTTGGATGATGACAGCGGAAATGATGAAACTGAGGAATGGAAGTTGAAGACGAAGGTGAAAAGCCTAAAGGCAAAGCTAAAGACGGTGAAAAAGGAGAGAGATGAAGCTAAGAACACGGTGATGGACCTCGAATCCGAGAAGAAAAATGTCGAGTCAGAATTAAGAAAGTTCAAAGGAGAAAACATGTCCAAAGATCAGGAGATAGAATACCTAATGGAAGATATAGAAAAGGTTGAAAAAAAGAAGGAAGAACTGAAAAGGAAAATTCTGGAAGTAGTCCAAATGGACAATGAAGAGAATGAATAGCCAAACTTATTAATGTCTTATTAACAATTGTAAAGTTAACGGATTGGGAATTTTCTACTTTTGTGCAGTGGTGACACACTGCACATGTATATGTATAAATGTTTTTTGCATAAAATTTTTTGAAGGAATTTATTAAAATGTGTGTACAATTTTTTAGTTCATTCTGAATCAAAGGGTGAAAGGCAGGGGGTCATCACAATTAATCTGTCTTCTTTCTTTTTGACCACTCGTACACTATTATAATAATTAGAAAGAAGACAAAATAAGAGTGTTTAGCCCTTGGTGGTGAAGAAAGCTTGTATGATCATTCATCAATTTCGCTTTGTTTTTGTTGAATCAAAAACTTTATAATTACATGTACTATATATATTTATGCCCCTATAATTGATGATTCAGCATGTTCAGGGATACAAAAGTACAGATTTTGCCCTGTCTCTTTTTTTATACCCACGCAACAATTTGCGTGAGGTTATACCCCACGCAATAAGTTTCATGAGGTATAATGTTTTTGACCCGTCCGTCAGTCAGTCAGTCCTGTTTTTTTTTTGTCAGCGCAACTCCTCATAAACCGCTGCATAGAATTTCGTCAAACTTTGCAGATATTTAGGACACAATGTGTAGATATACATATTACCAGGACATTCTTATTTCTTTAATTTTTTCTTGGGAATTTCAGCACTTTTGAACTTAGACTTTTGGGGATATCTTGAATATAGCGATGAACAGTTCGTTCAGCGCAACTCCTCTTAAACCGCTGCACAGAATTTTGTCAAACTTTGCAGATATTTAGGACACAGTGTGTAGATGTGCATATTACCAGGACATTCTTATTTCTTTATTTTTTCTTGGGAATTTCAGCACTTTTGAAATTAGACTTTTGGGGATATCTTGAATATAGCGATGAACAGTTTGTCAGCTCAACTCCTCATAAACTGCTGCACAGAATTCCATCAAACTTTGCAGATATTTAGGACACAATGTGTAGATGTGCATTTCACCGGGAAATTCGATTCCTTATAATTTTTTTTCCGGAATTTTCAGCACTTTAAGATTTGGGAAAGCGTGGGGTATGTGAGCTTGCTCACTTTTGCCTTCATTTCTTTAAAAACCGTAACCTTACCATAAATATTCATAGATTGGATCTATAGCTTTCCTATTTCATGTGTATTCTTGCGACAAGACCAGCATACTTGCCCTTGGAGTTTGACACACTTTTGATTTACCTTCTTTGAGCCTTGCCATTAAATCTTCATAGGTTGGAGCTACATGTATGGCTTATTTTTCACATGTGTATTCCTTTTGAAAAGACCCAACATATTTGAGCTTGTATGAGTTTGAACTAATTTTTTTTTATAGAAAAATTATGTTTTCAAACTTTAAACCTTGATCTGCCCTTTTGAAGTTGATGCTAGGGGTTTCATACTTCAATGGTGTATTTCTTGTGACAAGATATTTCCTTGGATATAAATAATTCTATGCCCCCGTAATCGAAGTTTCGGGGGAATATTGTTTTTGTCGTGTCCGTGCGTCTGTCTGTCTAGCTGTCTGTTTGTCCGCAAAAAACTTTAACCTTGCCCATAACTTTTGAATTAGTGGAGTTATGACTTTCATATTTCACATGCATGTTTCTTGATATAAGACCTTTCTTTGGGTACCACCACATTTGACCTTTTGACCTTGGAGTTTAACCCGCTTTGCATAAAAATTCCAACATTTTACATTGGCCATATTTTTGGAACAGTAGACAACAGATCATTTATACATCACATATGTATTTTTATGGGAAGACCTTTCACTGGATACTAACAACTTTGACCTTGATCTTAGAGATTTAAGTACTTAATAATAAAAATGTTTAACCTTGGCCACAACTTTTGAACGGTAAGGGATAGGGCCTTCATACTTCATGTATGTAATCCTTGTGAGAAGACCCTTCATAGGATTAAGGACTTTGACCCTTTGACCTTGGAGATTGACCTACTTTGAAAAATGTTTAACCTTGGCAAAATTTTTAAAGGGTTAAAGCTAGGACTTCCGTACTTTACATATGTATTCTTTGTGGCAAGACCCTTCATTGGATACCAAATACCTTGACCTTGGTAATTTTTGTACTTATGAAAAAACTTAAAACCTTGACCATAACTTTTGAACGCTACGGGCTAGTGATCTCATACTTCACATAAGTAATCCTTGTGAAAAGACCCTTCATTAGAATCCAAGAACATTTGCCCTTTGACCTTCAAGTTTAACCTACTTTTAAAAAGCAAACCTTGACCATAACTTTTAAAGGGTTAGGGCTAGTACTTTCATACTCTTGTGACAAGACCTTTCATTTGATGGCAAGAACTTGACTTTGGAGTTTGACGTACTTTTGAAAAATTTTAACTTTGGCAATAACTTTTGAATAATTAGGGCTAGGTCATCCATACTTCACATTTTTTTTATGGCAATACCTTTCATTGGATACCAATTACCTTGATCTTTTGACTCTGACCTTGGAGATTTCTGTACTTATGAAAAAAAAATATGACCTTGGCCTACTTTCATATTTCACAATTGTATTCCCAGTGAGAATACCTTACTACCGTGCCAATATACCGTACCGTACCAATATATTAAATTTGCATTTAAAAAAAGTTTAATCTTCGATTTGTTGCCATACGGGGGTATCAGTGTTACACAAACACATCTTGTTTTTTTTTCTTAAATTTCATCTCAATTCTTTATCCCAGACAACTGCCGTACATCTTTGTCACTTCGTTTTTATGTCGCATTTCAATAAAACATCCAGGAAGAACTGTGTCTATGTCGTCTGTATGTGTATCTAATTGTCCCCCGCTTTCGCGAAAGCGAGGGGACATTAAATCTTATTCGTCTGTCTGTCTGTCCGTCAGTCTGTCTGTCGGTCACTCTGTCAGTCTGTCCGTCACAAAAACTTTAACCTTGCCCATAACTTTTGATTTAGTGGAGCTATGACTTTCATATTTCACATGTGTATTCCTTCCTTGTGACAAGACCTTTCTTTGGGTACCACCAAATTTGACCTTTTGACTTTGACCTTGGAGTTTGACCCACTTTTACACAAAAATTCCAACATTTTACTTTGGCCATAACTTTTGAGTAGTAGGTACTAAGACTTTCATATTTTCACATATGTATTGTTTGTAGCAGGACCTTTCATTGGATAACAACAACCTTGACCTTTTGACCTTGACCTTGGAGATTTACGTACTAATGAAAAAACTTTAATCTTGACCATATCTTTTGAACGGTGAGGACTAAGGCATTCATACTTTACAAATGTAATCCTTGTGAGAAGACCTTCCATTGGATAACAACAACCTTGACCTTTTCACCTTGACCTTCGAGATTTACGTACTTATGAAAAAACTTAACCTTGGTCACAACTTTTAAACAGTAGATGCTAGAACTTTTATATTTCACATATGTATTCCTTGTTGCAAGACATTTCATTGGATCATTGAATATCAACAACTTTGACCTTTTGACCTTGACCTTTGAGATTTACGTACTTATGAAAAAACTTTAACCTTGACCATAACTTTTGAACGGTGAGGGCTAGGGCTTTCATACTTCACATATGTAATCCTTTTGAGAAGACCTTTCATTCGATACCAACAACTTTTACCCTTTGACTTTGAACTTGGAGTTTTAACTACTTTTTTAAAAAAAAATTTAACTTTGGTCACAACTTTTGAACGGTAGATACTAGGACTTTTATATTTCACATATGTATTCTTTGTGGCAAGTCCTTTCATTGGATATCAACAATTTTGACCTTTTGACCTTGACCTTAAAGATTTGCGTACTTATGAAAAAAACTTTTACCTTGACCATAACTTTTGAACAGTAAGGGCTGGGGCTTTCATACTTCACATATGTAATCCTTGTGAGAAAACCTTTCATTGGATATCAACAACTTTGACCCTTTGATCTTGAACTTGGAGTTGACCTACTTTTAAAAAAACATTTTACTTTGGCCATAACTTTTTAACGGTCAGGATTAGGGTTTTCATCCTTAAAAAAAAATCAACTTCAGTGTTACTTTCTAAATAAATGACATATGATAGTATGTTCATATTACACACAATATGTCAAAAAAAAATAACATCTCACCCACAAAGACACCGAAAGCGGGGACCACAATTCTTTGAATTTGCTTGTTAAACTGAGATTTTATGACCCCTGAAATAAATTAGGATAAATCTCAATCTACAGCAAGGTTAACCATCCTCCTTATCAATTAAGACTGACTTTAATTCAATTACGTCTACCCCATTGTCAAAATAATTGTCCCCCGCTTTCGCGAAAGCGAGGGGACATTAAATCTCATTCGTCTGTCCGTCTGTCAGTCTGTCCGTCACAAAAACTTTAACCTTGCCCATAACTTTTGATTTAGTAGAGCTATGACTTTCATATTTCACTTGTGTATTCCTTGTGACAAGACCTTTCTTTGGGTACCACCAAATTTAACCTTTTGACCTTGACCTTGGAGTTTGACCCACTTTTACACAGAAATTTCAAACTTTTACTTTGTCCATAACTTTTGAATGGAAGGTACTAGGACTTTCATATTTCACAAATGTATTGTTTGTGGCAAGACCTTTCAATGGATACCAACAACCTTGACCTTTTGACCTTGACCTTGGAGATTTACGTACTTATGAAAAAAACGTTAACCTTGACCATAACTTTTGAACGGTGAGGACTAAGGCTTTCGTTCTTCACATAAGTAATTCTTGTGAGAAGACCTTTTATTGGATACAAGAACTTTAACCCTTTGACCTTGACCTTAGAAATTTAACTACTTTTTAAAAACTTTAACTTTGATCACAACTTTTAAACAGTAGATACTAGGACTTTTATATTTCAAATATGTATTCCTTGTTGCAAGACATTTTATTGGATACCAACAACCTAGACCTTTTGACTTTGACCTTGGAGATTTATATACTTATGAAAAAACTTTAACCTTGACC